AGGCTTTTCACAAGGTTTAGGAGTGTTTATGGGAATTTTTGACTGTTATAGAAGTGCATTTGTGGGGTCAGATACTGATGTTGGACGAGAAGGTCTGGCTCGCAGTCTCTGCTCTAATGTGTTCTATTGGGTTGAGGTCAGGACTCTGTGCAAGCCAGTCAAGTTCTTCCACACAAAACTCACTCATTCATGTCTTTATGTACCTTCGGGGACATTCCCAAACCGTTCTCACAAAGTTGGAACATGAAGTTGTCCAAAATGTCTGGATTATCTGAAGCATTAATAATGAATAATAATGGATTTGATTTATATAGCGCTTTTCAAGGCACCCAAAGCGCTTTACAATGCCATTATTGATTCACTCTCACATTCACACACTGGTGGAGGCAAGCTACAGTTGTAGCCACAGCTGCCCTGGGGCAGACTGACAGAAGCAAGGCTGCCATATCGCACCATTGGTCCGTCTGGCCATCACCAGTAGGCGGTAGGTTAAGTGTCTTGCCCAAGGACCGAGACTGTCCGAGCCGGGGCTCGAACCGGCAAGACGAACTGCCAACTCTTTGAGCCACGATCGCCTTAAGAGTTCTTTTCACTGGAACTAAGGGGCTGAGCCCAAATCTTGAAAAATAACCCCACACCATAATATCCTCTTCACCAAACTTCAGACAGTGCAGTCAGAAAAGTACTGTTCTCTGGCAACCTTCAAACCCAGACCCATCCATTGGATTGCCAGACAAAGAAGCGTGACTCATCGCTCCAGCAAGCACATCTTCCCTACTCTAGAGTCCCGTGATGTTGTGCTTTACATCACTGCATTCAACGCTTTACATTGTGCTTGGTTTGGATGCAGCTGCATGGCCATAAAGCTCTCTGTGCACTGTTCTTGAGCTAATCTGAAGGCCAGACGAAGATGGGAGGTCTGTAGCGACCAAATCTGCAGAAGGATGGTGACTTCTGACCATTATGTGGCTCAGCGTCCGCTGAACACTGTCTTTGATTTTATGTGGCCGGCGTTCACAATCACTTCCACTTTGTTATAATACCACTAACAGTTGACTGTGGAATATTTAGTTATGAGGAAATTTCACAACTGGACTTGCACAGGTGGCATCCTATCACGGTACCACGCTGGAATTCACTGAGCTCATTCATTCACAAATGTTTATAGAAGCAGTCTGCATGCCTAGGTGCTTGACTTTATACACTGTGGCCAAAGAAGTGATTGGAACACCTGAATTCAATGATTTAGATTGTGTGAGTGAATATTTATGATAATAAAATGTAGCTAGACACTTCTAGTTTCATTGTTTGTCTTTGGTTTCCTGTGGCAAATGACTTCCATCACTCACTCATGTTGCTTGGTCGAGCAGTTCAGAAGCTGCAACCTACAGACTTCCTGTTTTGAACAGACACAATCACTCACAGACATTCTGTGACTGCATCCGCATAGCTGTCCTCTTTTCAAAACAGTAACTTGATATTTGCATGCATGTGACACCATTTGGTGACATCTGTAAATTGTCCCTACAAACCATTACACGAGTAACACTCTCCCAGAACGAGCTCTAAGTTTCCCAGAACTTGAGACCGTTAATGCAGTACTAGATTGATACATCCGCTTTTATGCAGTCATGTTTAGACACTGAAATATTTTCCTTTAACATATGCAAAACACATGTTTTGAGTCTCGATGGCAAAGATTCAAAAAAATGAATAAAAAGTAGACAGAATTACAGAAAGATTACAGAAATCCAGCCAAAACATAACCATGCTTCCCATAATTCAAATATATAAAGTCAGACATTAATTTCCTCCGACTTTGAAATCGAGATTCCATCAACGAGTTCACATTTAGCTTAAATCATAAACTTGCTTATACTGTAGCACGCGGCAAATTGATCTTATTTCAACGCCTAATTACATGCAGTAGATTTAAAACGGATACAAGTTTCAAACTTGTGCTGATGTGACATTTGATTAGCAGAATTTAGGGAGAATGACTTTAATCTTAAACCCAAGTTGCTGCTGGCAGACGCCTCATAGTGCGTTACTGGGACAAAGCGGGGCTAATTTTCAGTAGCTCTTTCACTAAGCCTGACAGCACATGAGGGGAATGATGGCATAACCTGTGGTTTCTCAAAGAGGGGATTCAGAGTTTAGTCGGGAATTTTCCTCTTAAGATGGGAACACTGATAGGGCTTACGATTGAAAGTAACATATGGATCAAATAGAGGAGTTCCTTGATTTGATTTAGTTTCTCTTTGTCATTACTCATGTGGGGTAGAGATGTTTATTTAGGGTGTTGACGGCACTGATGTTTTACGTTTGTGTCTGTATATTCTTGTGGAATTACATGTTAATTTTTTAATTTTTGTTGGAGGAAATAATAAAAGAAGCTTTGGTCTTTACTAGAAAGATGTGAATTTAATGAGATTGCTTATATTTTAATCCACCTTGACAAAGATACTAAAACCTCAGATGAGCGATGCTTTTACGAGGCAGGTTAGCTGTTCCCCCTGCTTGCGCTCAAACTGTCAAACCTTTCTTCATAGAAGAAGAAAACGGAGCCAAGAGTTCTTACATTGTTTGGAGTTTTGAGACAGATGGTTGTGGGGGTGGAACCATGTGCATGTTAAGCGGATGTGTGTGGGTTTGTGTGCGGAGATGACAAAGGGTGCAGGACTATGGTTTATTAGCCCACTGATGGAGTCTGATGGAGGGGGAACAGACCTCAAACAGCAGCCTGTGAGACGACCACAGAGGGTAAAGGTCACCGAGAAACTCTGGGTCATTAGAGTGATCACAGCCAAGAAACAAACCTCCGCGCGCTTGAGAATAGCTGCCTTTTCAGCACAAAAACATCATTCCAGACATTTTTTTTCTCTTTTTTTGATGATTTGTTAACACACAAGCACATGATTGTATATTGCTTAATCCAGCGTGTAACATGTCATACAGTGCACCGGTGATCTTTTGTTAATCAGGCAGCTTTAGATGTTCCTGGACGAGCTGTCAAGTCTTGCTTAGTAATTCATACTAATAAGCCTCTAGCCTCGATCCCCTTTTTGTCGGACTGTGTAAATAAACTTTTCAGATCGAGCCTTCATGCCAGCCGAAAAGCACCTTTAGTTTTTACCACCAGAGTTTCGTTTATTTTGAGTCTAGACATCTGAAGTGACTCCCGAGCCGTGCCGCTGGAAGCCGTGACTCCTCAGAAGTAACAGAAAAGAGAAATAAAAGAGCGTGAAGTGTTTTCTTTGCCTTTGGTTTGTTTTCCAGTCTCCTTTCAAAATGAACTGGGGTTTGGAGTTGGCTGCTTCGCACATGGTGTGGTGGAAGGGATGGGGAGAGAGGGAGAAGTAAAAAAAGAAGTGAAAAATAAGCACATTTTACTACTGCAGACGTAGTGGGATCTTTCTACGCTATAAACAAAATACATTCAATTAGTGTTTTTCACTATGATACCTTTACTACTGTATATTTACTTGGCACATGGAGTCTATGACATGCCTCTCTCATCATTTTTCTAATAACAGAAATTTTAATTTGTAAAAAAAATCAAACATGTAGAGACTTAGGAGTTATAATGAGAGTCCAAGGTACAAACCAGGTATAACCATCATGGTTAATGCACCTTTGTCTAGATTCAAGTCGGCAATATAAGATAAGGAACAGTTAGCGTACTTTGTTGCTTTTTTACCACTTATAGACGTTATTTTTGCTGCTACAACCTGGCAGATGTTCACGATAGTCATAAATAGGTATAAATAAAGCCAAAACTCCTGCAGGCTGAGCCAGCCTAACTGACATTATGAGTACTTTCTATTGTTTAGCATTTACCTTTATCCCATAATTACTGCTTGTGGCCACGGTGGCTACTGTTTAGCTAAACTTAACATAGTTTCACTTGAAGCAGTTGTCACCTTTTTAAGGCATTATAACAGTCTCTGTTGTACAAACTTATATTGTTCTCGGTTGAACAATACCCAACAAATTCCTTTGTGGTTTATTCTTTTATGGATTATTTATATGATCATTATAAATTAAACTGTTGTAGATGTATCCTAGGTCTTGCCTTGTTAATGCAGTGATGAGTTTTGGAGGATTCTGATAGAGTTTTGTCTCCACGCAGTCTATGAGCTGCTGTTTCAACAGCAAAACATCTGACATACAGTTTTCATGAACACTAAAACTGTCACCAGCGCTCCTTCCTACAAATCTACGATTGCATGAGGCAACGATCCATTTGCGAAATGCACCCTCCATGTTGTTCTAGCTTTACTGTTTTTAGTTGTGATTTGTGTTTGTGAGCTTTGCTCTGTTGGCTCTGTCGTGCCTGTGAATTATTTCCCTCTCAACAGGACTATGCTTTTTTTTTTTTACTGGTTCTGATGAATCTGTCAGTGAATCACACCAGTTAACCTCCTGTAGCGCTATGCTGCAGGATGCTGAAATAATTTTCTCATAACTCATAGCTTCAGTGGCTCTGGGTCAGGGGGAGCTAGCTGTTGCACGCAGAAGCCCTTATGGGATGCGCACCGAAGAGGAACCAAAACTCAATAAACACAGCGTCTAGGGGGGGTGGTAGTTCAAGGGTGCGCTTGTCATGACGGAGCCTACGGTGAGCGCTCCAGTGGCTGCTGGGGTTTTGATGCTGTAATGTGAAACGGCTGGGGAGCGAAGGAGGACCACAATTCCCTCTTTGTCTGGTCTCCACCCCAGCATCACCCCATTCTCGTCTCCTCAGCGGACCTTCACAGTGCCCACACTCGTCATCTCCGTCTCCATCTGTGTCCCCACGTATGCCACCCATCACGATGTCTTGATTGCTCGCACTCACTCGCACCCAGCCAAGTGTTACCGTTTTGAGTTCATATCTTTTCCTCTGGGCTTTTCTACCATCTGCATTCAGTTCATAATAATGTCAGTTACATAAAATAACACCAGCATTGAATCTGAGTAATGCGTCCTAATTCTCCTGTCTCGTTTTCTCTCCTTAGTCTCCGGTGGTGTCTGTGGGCTTTGCCAGGTTTCATCCCAACCTGGTGGTGGGGGGGACGTACTCAGGACAAATAGTCCTGTGGGATAATCGCAGTCATCGCCGGACCCCTGTCCAGAGGACCCCTCTGTCTGCTGCTGCACACACTGTAAGGATGATTTAAACTGTCAGTATGATACATTTATCATACAGTACGTAAAGGTTTATCTCTGCTTTACAATTAGAATTGTGATATTAACAGCAATACGTCTGCAGGAGATTATTTATTACTTTCCTTACTGTGTAGTTTTCCTGCAATGACACATCATTATTAAAACCTGGAAGGCAGAACAGTTTCAGTATTTAACAGTTATTTTTTAGCAGGATTGTTTACCCAAAATTCTGGATAGCTCCTTAAATCATAGAGTAGTTACATTGCACCAGTCCATCCTTCTCTACAGCCATTCACAGTATAATCAAACTAGGGAAAACCCTTGCTCAAGGCTGTGCCACGACCAAAATTAGTGCCACCGTGTGCAGTGGATTTATGGTTTTTTGTGTAGCGGCCTTCAGATGGGGTCAAGTTGGCAATTACATGCAATCTGTGATAAATCAGCAAGCATCGCAGATCTGCTGCCATGTGCATTGATAATCTTTTCCCCGAGTATGATGATCCTGACACAAACAGCTAAGAGTGATAAGCTAGGTCATTTTTAGCTAATTAGCACTCACTATTGCTTTGTAAACTGTGATCTTCTTGTTCTTCACCTCCTAAATGAAAGACCTGAGATCCAAATTACAAATAGCGATCTGTTAAAAGTGTATTATTGTACACTCTTATCCTGACGGCAGTGCAACAAAGAGCATTCACAACAAGAAACTGCTAAAATGGATCTCCAGCAGGGACGTAATTGTTCTCTAGTGATTAAAATATTGCAGTGGATTCTGTATGTGGATCAAAAGTGCCCAATTTCCATTAATCTTCTTTTGAGAGGTCATTTAAATGTTCTTTGATTGAAAATTAATTTTAGTGGAGGGTTGTTGGAACCGTGTTTTGCTCTTCAGAGCTCTGTGTGAGTCACGTGACTGAAAACTAAATTGTTAATTTGGTTAAAAGTGTTGAAATACACTTAGGCCAACATGGGGAAAAAAAAGCAGAGAAACACTTTTTTTAATCCAAAAATTCAGACGTATGAATATGATAAAAAGATTTTGATTGCACCAATTACACTGAATGATTTTTATATGATAATCTGTATTCTTGGGTCTGTCTGCACTTAGACATAAACTTGATAAAAGCAAGACATAACTGAAAGAGCAGCTCAGTTCAGCTATAGCAAATTACTGTTGAATATAAACTAACGATATCTTAAGAACCCAGCTTGTTTATAATCACAGCTACAGTAGACACACACATTGTTACATGCCATCCATACTGTAGCTTTAAACGGGCTGCGGGCTCTAATAATGAGGCTGCCACTCTCCCGTTAGTGGGTACAGCTTGCTAGCATGGTGCTGATTGCTGAATGGATTCTTTGTGCGACCCGGCGCACAAATCAATTACTGCTCAGTAATGATATAATGGCTTCACACACTCGTGGATTTGAACAGCAGCACATGTCTGAAACGTAGGGTGATTTAAAAGGACGAATGCACACTGGCATGTGAGCTGTCTGCATCTCTTGGCCCCAAAAAGCATCTAATGACATCATGTGCTAAAGGGGAAAAAACATGTCATCATTACAGGACAATGTTTATTCGTTTCATAAATAGTGGAATATCACAATTAATGACATGGTGATGCTGCTGACAGCCTGCTACAATTAGGACTGTTTCAGCTATTTTTTGTACAAGAGAAATTGTTATGCTTCAGTTCAAAGAGGCTAATAATTAAGAACTATAATGTGATCACAATGTATTATCCTAAACGATGTTGTTGTAATTATACTACAGTTGATAACAGCTTTTTTGTATTGTGCACGGGTAAATCTTCACCCAAATCCATTTGTTTGTCTCTGCGTATGATCGTGTGTGTGTGTTTGTCTAGCACCCAGTGTACTGCGTGAATGTGGTCGGCACACAGAACGCCAACAACCTGATCACCGTGTCCACAGACGGCAGGATGTGCTCCTGGAGTCTGGACATGCTCTCCCAGCCTCAGGTACACAAAACTCTTACCGCACATCAGTGAAGCAGTCCACACAACCTGCCAGCAGCATTTAAAAAAAGAACTTTTTCACTCACTAATGCTGTTTTTTTGTTGTAAAAATGCAGGTTTATGCTATATCCACTCTAATATAATGTGTGTAGGAGACCATGGAACTGGTGTACAATAAATCCAAACCCGTGGCAGTGACATGCATGGCCTTCCCCACGGGAGACGTTAACAACTATGTGGTCGGGAGCGAGGAGGGCACTGTGTACACTGCATCCAGACATGGCAGGTTGGTTAATGAAACATGTATTCTTAAACACAGATATGCATTAAAGTTCACCAAACGTCTGCTGAGTATGAAACAGTGCTCATATAATTTATAATTATAACATTAGCAAAGTTTAAGAGGATGATTGTCCCTAAATTAGATTACATTTAAGTAACTTAAAACTTAAAATGTGATTACAAATGAAGTTCTCCCTCTTTTGGAGGGAATTTTGGGCTAATGGTCGCAGTTCCAGATGTTGCCTTGTGCGTTTTCCCTCTCCAGTAAGGCAGGTATCTGTGAGATGTTTGAGGGCCACCAGGGGCCCGTCACAGGCATCAGCTGTCACAGCGCGGTGGGCACCGTCGACTTTTCCCACCTCTTTATCACGTCCTCGTTCGACTGGACCGTCAAACTCTGGAGCACCAAGGTACAATGTGGGAGGTGTGTGTTAGTGTGTGTGAGGGAGCAAGAGAGAGGGGATGTGGAGAAAGAAAGGTTGTGCGGGGGGTTGATTGTGACCTCCAAGAGGTTTTTAAGCAGATCCTGAGAGGGAGAGAGAATGAACTAGTGAAGAGGGAAGGTTGAGTAGAGAGGTCTCGTACAACTTGTGTGTTTCTCTACATATATGTTTGAATAAGCTGTTATTGTGCGTATATGGGTACTCTGTGTGTGTGCGTTTGTAGGGAAAGTATTCACTGCTAACTACAGACTGTATATAAGGATGGTTTTAGCCTCCAGAGCTAATAACATAGAAAATCTGCAGTCTATGAGCTCACTTCATTTATAACTTCATTTATGAGTTCATGTTCTAATTTGTACTTTCAGCTCTTATGTTAATATAACATAGTGTTGATTTGGTAAATTATGCCCCCGATGTAAATTGGGATACGTTTTAGGAAGACCTACTTTGTGATACTGTACGATCGTGTATTATCATTGTGTCTCAGACAGAGCCACCACTCGCTGTTCACCTCCAGCTTCAAAACATCAAATTGGGGACGATCAAAGTGTTCAGGTCAAACAAGAAGCAGCCTCTGGAGGTGAAACATGATCCCAACACAGAAGTGGAAAAAATTGCAGTTCCTTTAGGTGCCACTCGAGGCGTGCTCCAAAAGGGACTCCATTCCCATAGATTTCACATTTAAGATATAGAGACTCGACCTGAGTAATGGAGTTTGTGTAACTGAGTACATCTCCATTGATATGACTACTGCCTACCACGGTGAGTCTTGGAACCAGACCTTTTCACTGTGTCGGCACTGTTGGTGAGTTTTCGATTATCTGATGGATGTTCTGTGATACAGCAAATCAAAATGAATTTATGCATCCGTTTTGTTGAGTAAAGAGCAACATCTCTACAGTTGAGACCAAAGTGAATATGTTTGGTATTAAAACCAAACATAGCATATCAGCACAAACATCTCATACCAACAGTCAAAGACGGTGGTGGAGGCATGATTTAGGCTGGGCACCTTGCAGTCATTCATTCGACCATGAAGTCCTTTGTGTACCAAAGTATTCTAGAGTCAAATATGAGGCCGTCTGTCTGACAGTACTGCAGCTACACCAAAATCAAGGTATTGCAATGGCCCAAAGTCCAGATGTCCACCTGATTGAATCCATCCAAACCTCAATTAACTGAAGCAACACCATAAAGAAGGATGGGCCAGAATTCCTCCATAATGATGTGAGAGACTGATAAAGTCACACAGAAAACAATTAGTCCACATTATTGCTGTTAAAGGTGGTTCTACTGAGTTATGGATGTAGTCCTATGAAAACTTTCTTCTTCAGAAAACCGCACGTGCGCCTGTGCATTGCACTGGTGGGGTTTATGGATGTAACCACTTGTTAAGCTAATGTTAGCTGCTAACGTTACCTCTGGCTTTGAAAAAACAGCATGGCAGCAGCCAAAACACTAACATTGAAGCTTTAAAATACAGAGTCCAAAACCAGTGGGTGACATCGCTGTGCCTGCATCCATCTTATATATACAGTCTGTGTTAATCATCAGTAACCATCATCATTATTATTATTACCTGGTTTCAGCCTGTCAAGCAATTTCCTCTTAGGCTGCGCTCTGTTTCTAGTAAGAGCCAGTTAACCTGCTCTTTCTTTGGAGACAGCAGGTGAACCACTAGTATTACAGATGTCAGATGTCTACATTGCTTCAGAGAAATGTGTGCCTCCAATGGCAAAAGTCACAAGAGCACAAACAGCTCCACACACGATTCTTAGCTTACTTCAATTAATAAGACCTATTATAAGTGTAATTATAGTTAGTTAATCTTCCAGTAGTCCATTATTTAAATGAAACTACAAATACTTGCACTTACAAAGAGACTGTCAGCTGTTGTTCAAGTTTCCGTAGAAATATTTTGCTGAGAGACAGCGTAGGATCTGTTTTTTTTATTTTTTATTTAAGGCTTGCTTGTTGCACCTAATCTGACGTGTGTGTGTATTGTATGTGTGTGTTTTTCTGGTTTGTCCTGGGTGTACATGTGTGAAAGTCCCTTGTTTGTATGTGTGGGTGTCCCTCCTACTCAACTATCACTGCAAAACACAAATGCACTGATGGGATAGTGCTGGCTGCTGTCTGCAGGCACACTTAGTGAACCTAAGTCAGACCCACTCTAAAGGTGGGCGCTCCTCCTCTCGCTGGTTTTGAGTGACCTCATCCTCTCAGTGCTGTTGTTCTCCTTTCAAACCAGTGTTATGAATTCCATTTGGCAGCATTTCAGAAGCGGTAAAAAGCAAACAGCCACTATTTCTGTCAGAGTAAGGCTGGTGAATAAAAAAAAAATAAAATAAAAATCTCGGCTAATACAGTGAAAGGACACTGCTGTGGTGGTGAAACAGAAGTTTTGGCTTAGGTGTATATGACATATTGCACAGAAAGGTGTAGGAAATGGATACTCATGTAGTAACCACAGGGTAAATGGAACAATTAGCCACAACTAATATGAAAAATGTTAAGTAGAATTTAAATATGATTATGATGAGTGGCTTGATTAGAAACAGTAAAGCTGTAGAAATGTACAATGTATAAATTTGAGGGTATGAATAATTAAAACTGCTAATGGTCAAAAAATGAAAATAAGGTTACATTAGCTAGCTAAAGTTATCGCTAGTAGTAGAAGTACTGGAACTAATGGGTGAGTTGGGATGTCATTCACTAACAATAAAGCCAGAAACATGATGGATAATAGCTTAATTAGCTAGCTAGAATTATTATTATGAATGATTGTTGGAAATTGTTATCTTAGGCAATGTTTCTGGCTACTAGCTTATGGCTAGTGACTGAATTTGCTAGCTGATTGTATAAATAGTAGAGATAGCTAGCAAATTGTTACAGTTGCCTGTAATTTTGCATGGAAGACACCAACTTCTCTACAAACACTCGCAATCCAAAGCTTTTTGCAACCAATTTCACTTCTCACTAACCAGTCAGGGAATATGTTTTTCCTTAATGACCAGTGGTTGCCAGGGCATCACAGACTGGTTGTTTACGAGACCTTAGCTGATAAATGGCTTGCTGAATGTAATCACAAAAAGCGGTAAGGTGAGAGTAGTCAAGGTCAGCATTAAAATGAAAAGTTTTAAACGTGTGTGTGTGTTCCTGATGAAGGCTATCTGAGGCCTGAACGATCCAAGAGGTTAAAAGAAGATTGATATTAGGAATATGAATTAAAGCTGAGGTGCAAATAACAAAAGAAAATGTGACAATCAGTTTTTACTATTAATCAGTTAATGGTTAGTAGTAAAAATTGATGCTAATTTTGAATTACAGAGGTTATCATGATACATACATGCATAGGGTGATATCGTGTACAGCCCAAAATCAGAGGCATACCTCCTTGGTGTAGTAAAAATACATAATTCATATTGCATATCAGCTTTATGCAGGATCCAGTTACAGTTTTCATTCTTGGCTGTGACAGCCAATAAAGCACTCTGATGACTTTTAGCCCATGTTAGCATGCAGCCAGTCCATAAGTCTTGTGCAGCGGGTCCCGTGACACATATTAAAACATTTCTGTGGATTTTCATCAGAAGAGTGTGTTATTTTTCAGGATTTGGGAATTCCCTTTCCTTTGAGGGTCACCACAGGAATGTGTGTCTGTCTCTTATCCCACATAACCCATATTTGTGTGTGGGCAGGAGGAATACCTGAGTGTGCGCGTGTGTGTGTGCATGTGTAAATACAGACACACCACACATGCCTCATGGTACACCTTAAGCAAGCTGCCTTTGCTTGCCTAAAATCCCCTCGAGGTTTGCCTTCAGCCCTCCAATCATAAGCATCACAAACTGTTTTGAACACACGCGCGCATGCACGTTTGCAGCGAATTTCCTCTGCATTCACGTGCGTTTGCCCTCACGGTTCAAAAAGGCCGTCCTACAGACGTCTGCGTATGTTTTTACACTCAGCGGTGCAAATATTGTGGTTAGTGAAACCATTCTGAGTCGGCCAGAGTGTGAAGATGTCGCGACGGCTGGGAGTGGGTTTATGATTGTGCATAACTTGAACCACCTTGCACGCTTGACCCCAAAACCAGCATCTACGAAATGATTGGATGGAGCACAATTACTCCACTGTTGCTGTTCTTAAGAAGGTAATCAAAGGCCTGCGTCTCTGTCGGGTCAGATGATTGTTAGCGAGCGTTTATAATATTTCAGGTGAACATCTGTAGATACGCTGACTCGTCACTTCATTAGTTACAGCTTGTTACCACCAGGTTTGACCCCCTTTTACCTTCAAAACTGTCTTAATTCTTTGTGGCATTGATTCAAAACACTGCTGGAAACGCCCTGAGACATTTTGGTCTATACTGACATGACAGCACCACGCAGTTACAGCAAATTTGTGTCTGCACATCCATGATATGAATCTCCCATGTCACCACATCCCAAAGGTCTTTTGAGTGCAGCGTTAAGTTCAAGCTTTGCGACACATCGTTCCTTCCTATCAGCTCAAAGCAGTCTGGCCATTCTCCACTGACCACTGCCATCAACAAGCCATTTTCACTCACAGAACTGCTGCTCACTGAATACTTTCTCTTTTTCAGACCATCCTCTGCAAACCCAGTTGAGACAGTTGTGCTCACTTTGAATTTTAGCAGGTCATCTTGACCATGACATGGTCAAGCGTATGTCAGGAGAAAAAACGTTTTGGTTGGGATCTTGCAGCACAGCGCATGAAGGAAGAATTTCTCATTTAAGGACAGTATCTCCATTCCCTTGGGGCGCATGTTTATTAAAACTATCAAACTAATGCGATTTTTGAGATGCAAATGCAGCGAGGATAGAAGCGGTGAAATTATATGACTGGCTGCTGCTGAGATGAGTGTTTTGGATCCCTATGGATGGCTGCGTGATGAGATGTTTTCTGAGAGAACGGCTTCCTCCTTGACATTTTGATTTCCGAGACAGTTAATGCAATTTGATATTTTATTATTAATGCCAAGGTGGTGCCTGCATTTTTGGCAACGATATCCAAATGATTGAATGCTTAACTTGCATTAGGTTCTCATTTTTTGTCATTGCTTCACTGTGATGCTAAATATCAGTGCCCAGTTTTTCAATGTTGGTTTTCAGGCTTGTCAAGGCTCTGCAGCTTTTCAGCACAGAAAAGATAATGACATCCAGTTACTTCATGTTTGGCGCCACAAGGATTAAGCTTCATTTAAAGATTAGTTTAAAGACTTATTCACCTAAATTATCTTCCTTAAAATTGGTAGATATAGACAAAATAGTAGTTTACATTATGAGTACCCAGTATAATACCGAGAGGGCCTTATTCATCTTATTTTGTCTTCCAGGTTTATTCATTACTTTGAGTCACGGCCAAATGACACATAGGACAAATTTCAGAAAGTTACCTTGAATGGGAAACAGAGGTGTTTTGCTTCAAGACTGATTATCTCGATAAAATCACACGTGCAGTGTAACCGGCTGTCATAAAAACCCGAAAATAAGAACAAGTAAGCGAGCGAGAGAGAACATAAACAGGTACGACTTCGATCGAACGCTGGAACTGCGAGATGGAGAAAAATGACCTCTGCTGTCATCCTGCCGGCTGGAAAACAGGTTCAATCGAGCCTTGAAATTGGCTTGGCTCAGTTTGTTTGTGTTTGTGTGCGAGTGTATGCGAGTGTGTGCGAGTGTGCGCTCTCAGATCTGCCGTAGAGTGAGGGAGTAAAGGTGATGGAGAGAAAGGAGCAGGAATGAGAGAGAAAGGGAGAGACTGCATTCTTTCATTTGCTGTTCTAGCCAGCCTGTCTCCTCTCTTCCACTCCTCCCACTCTACCTGCAAGGAATGTAGTTTGTATGCTTCTTGAATCTTAACAGTCAGCTTGGGAAAAGGTGTGTTGTTTTTTTTTAACACACATATTAAGCTGTACTGACCCTATGTGGGACACATGGGGTTTGTATTACATATCTGAGTTTTTGATCAGCAAAAGATCGTGACCTTTTTTATATCACAGAAAGGTGTGGGAATTTGTTCTGTGCCCGAGTATATTTGACCCCCAAAGTCCAGTTTGTTTGACTAGTATAGTGTCTGTGTATGATGTTTGGACACAGCTAATTGTGCTGAGCCCAGGCCCGCTTGATGAAGTGGACTCTGGGCATATACAGGGAGTGCAGAATTATTAGGCAAGTTGTATTTTTGAGGAATAATTTTATTATTGAACAACAACCATGTTCTCAATGAACCCAAAAAA